GAGCGGAAAGGAAAATGGCCTCTGCTCCTGGCTCCTGACAAAGGAAGAGCACAGGAGCTCAGCCGGGGCTGTGACGAGCTGACAGAGCACCCCTGGCCTCAAGGTACGCTGCGTGCAGGGATGCATTGGATACATCCTGCCAGGGCCCGGGCAGCTCCAACGGCCCAGCGTCCCGAGGCTGACAGCACCGGCTGCTTGCAACCACCTGGCTGCTCAGAGTCAGTGAACGGGCAATCTGTGGCCCCGCTGCAGAAGCGCTGATTTCACAAGAGCCGAGTGGAGGAGTTCGCACCTAACAATACGACTGGGTGCAATACTTCCCCCGCTAGAAACACGGCTTCCAGGGCGTTACACCTCCTCAGGGTATCACACATGGGGCTGCTGTGTCTTGAGAGGAGGCACCCGTTCAGGGTCCCCGTGTGACCAGTGCGTAGCACCCATCTTGCTGGTGCCAACACCCTGCCCCCAGTCTGAGCTCGGCAGCACTCTCAACGCTGATTTTACACCCCATAATGATGAGAGACCCCGGGGGCTGGGACTGCTTCCACAGGCACCTGGTGTGCAGTCACGTCTGGGCTGGGGCTTCATATAGGGCATGAGGACGAGCAGCAGCCTAGAACTTGTGCTTTTTCATAGCATTGGGGGTTTTTTTCACAGCATTTTTTTTTTAAACAGAGTCTAGCCCCAGCTCACTGTCAGCCTGACATGAAGAGCTTGAACACCGTGTGAAACAGGGAGAGCTTCCTGCAAGATGCCAGCGACAGATCAGCTTGTGTTTGTGACTTCTTGCATGACTCGTGGATGTTCTTGCACTCAGCCTAGCCTGTCAGTGGGTCAGCTCTTTGCTGCAGTTCTAGGTAGGGTTCTCCAGTGACGCGAGGTTGTACTTTGAGGACAGAAAACGCATAAGGGACAACAAGAAGCTTAAACAGCGTAAGAGCTGGGTCTCACGCTGTACTGCTGCCTGACCCAGGCGGGAGCAGGGCCTGGGGAGAGCGGCCGGCAGCCCAGCACCCCACGAGCTGTCGGAGCTGCTGCCTCAGCCGAGCACCGCGCTGCAGCTCCCGTCTGCCTCTCCCCCGCTCAGGGGGAGTCCTGCTGGGATGTGCAGCAGCTTGACTCGGGTCCTCCCTCTCGCTTCTCGGGATGGTGCGAGCGTGACCTCCCTCGAGAGATGATTCACCCAGGCGTGGCACCCACGGGTCTGGCCAGCCCCCAGCAGTGAGCAGCACAGCAAGGCACGGGCCAAGACGCAGGGCTACGAAACGGTCACTGCCAGAATTTAAGCATCCACACCCAGCTCCACCTCGTGCGTCGCAGCCACAGAAGAGAAGTGTGCGAGAGTAGTAATATAGAACATAAGAAACATTTGCTCTTCTCCCATGCTCCCAAATCCCACCCTCCTGCTCCCACATTACAGTGGCAGAGATGCAAACCAAACACAGCTTTCTCGGAGCTGATATCTATTTCAAAAGAAGGCTGCTTGTGTAGGAATAAAATATGAACACTGGCACGGGGTGGTAAACAAGTCCCTAGAAATTTTTGCCACCCGATTACTTCCTTCCCTTCTTAAATACCCTGAAACAAATATTACTACAGTAGCTCCAGCCCCATACAGTTGTGAGAACACTTCATGCAAAAAAAAGAAAAAAAATAAAAATCAACACAAAAAACCCCCAACTCCAAAACAGAAAAGCCCTTCCCTGGCTGTGCAGGTCAGGAAATCTCGATGTTTCCTCATCACCCCTGGGAGAGTGAAGGGCTTTGCCTAGACACAGTCCAGCACAGTCACCAGCAGTTCTCCACTCCAGCAGGTTCCCAAGGTGCCAGACCTAATCCTGCCCCGACTTGCAGGCAGTGTGTGGAAGCTGTGGGTTCCCCTCATGGTCACGGGGTGAGCGAAAGGCCCCGAGGAGCCGCACTGCCTTTCCACAGGTCTGCCGAGGTTCGGCTGCGTGAGAGAGGACAGCATTTGGCAGCCAGCACTTGCTACGTACCGGAGTTTCTGCAGACCTGTGAAACACTCCCAGGATTACTGCTGTCTTTGCCTAACTTATAGTGGCAAAGAGGGCAAAAAAAATCAGCAACAAAAGCCAAATCCATCAACACGCCTGTAAGGTTACTAACTACTTCTACACAGACACCGCTTCGTCATTCAGCGCAGGGCTAAGCATGCTCCTAGGTAACTACGGGGTGCAGCGGATGCCGGGGGGGGACACAACTTTCCAGGTTTCTGCAGTGCCTCCCTCAGGCCTTGCTCAATTCCTATAACTAGACAACACCTATGACAACTCCCAGACTGCCCACAGGCCCCGCAGGGCACCGGTCCCAGCACGCTCCAAACGCCTCCTGCTCTCGTTTAATCTGGCCAAGTGTGGCAAGCTGGGACCCGTACCCTGCACAAGGAATACTGCTCGGCTGACAAAGAGCAGGACATCTCTGTGGACTGTTTCCCAATTAAAAAAAAGAAAAAAAAGAAACCAAGAGCAACTGCGATTTGCTCCATTTAATTTCAATTAACTGCAGCCCTTTAGAGGCTGGGAGAGATGCCAATCTAGCAGTTTGCTGGCCCTCCCCTTGGGGATGTCCCATTTCTCCAATGCCCCTTTCCCAACCAAGCCCTTACTCTTCTCCGCTTAAAGGAGTTTTAACAAGTCATTAAATCCCGCTGTGTTAAACTAATAAGGGCTTTAAAACCTGCAGTTCCTTTCCTCTGGAGGAAGTGACTGAACAGTGGAAAGGACACACGGTCAGGCAAGCGCCCTTCTCGGCAGTGGGGACTCTGCTACCTCTGGAAGCTCCTGGCAGCGACCAGTGTTACTGGATCCTGTTAGAGAGACGTGATGCGGTTAGGGCTGGGGAAGAGGAAAAGGAGCAACTGTTGTCCTCGGTGTGCTTGGACGTCTCCTCCCTCCCTCGGTGGGGAAACAGGCGGCTTATTTGCAAAAGGCAAGTGGTTTCCTAAAAAACTACTGAAAAAATGCAAAGGCTGCTCAGCCCCTTCCCCTAGAAAACTGTAAAAATGTTGGAGACACAGTGTGGCAGCGGGGAGGCTGGGAAGGCAGCACGGGGACAACTGCTCTCTCTGGACCACGCCACAGCCGCGGCAGGGTCCAGAGAGGTCTGGCTGTGACTTGTAGATGCTCCCTGGAGAGGATTCAGGAGCTCAGGTCCTCTCTGCCCCGTCTGGGTGTTCAGTGGGCAGTAAGCGGCTGCGGCTGGTCTCCACGCTGTCCAGGCAGCTGCTGGTATGTTGGCGTATCCTGCCCGAACAGACCTCGAGGCTGTTCTGTGACCGTAATAGCTGACAGTGACCAGTCCCAGCTCGGGCTCCCCTCCTCCGGAGGCGTCTCCTTTGAGCGTGCTGCTGCTCAGTTGCTCTCGACCAGCTTGGCTAGTCCCTGACGGATCTCACTGAGCTCAAATATCTTCACATCCATTATCTCTGCCACCTTGGTGACCTCGTTCTGCATCTTCTCCCTCTCGGCCAGGGTGTCCGCCAGCGTCTGCTCAGCAAGGTGAAGGCGTCGCTCCAGTTCGGCGTTGCGTGCCTCCAGCTCCTGCCAAAGGACCCAAGTGCAGTGAGGCAGCTGCGCCGGCACTGACACACACTGCTCAGACCACCACCCTTATCTCCACAAAACAGCCCTGGCAGCACCCCAGCGCCAGGCTACCCACACCCAGCCCGCTCTCCATCAGTTCTTTCACTGAGGGACCTCCCTATGCTGAGCCACAGCACCCCAGCACGCACGCGCATGTGAGCACGTGTTCCCCAAACCCAGGCATCTGCCCACGGTTTGCAAAGGTGCTATAAATGCAGATCTCCTCACAGGCCTATCATCTCCAGGTCTGATGGTGTTTGTTGTTTGGAGATACCATTCTGCCATGAAAGCCAGTGCCTGTGTACAGGGGTGAGCCCCGCCAGCAGATCCCCTTGTTCAGCGGCTCGGAGGTAAACGCAGGCAGGCGATGCCCCCAGAGACTGCACAACAGATCGTGCTTCCATCTGCGTCCTTGCCCTGAGGTGCAGAGCAGCTTGCATCCCTCCTGCCAGCCAGACTGAGTCAGAGCTCTGCTCCCCAGACATCCAGCAAGCTAAGCAGGACTTCAGAGAGACAGAGGCTCACAGGACATCACCAGTCCTGCTCCAGTCCTACTTCTGGGGCTACTGGAAGTGCTAGCAGAGAGCACATGAAGGCAGGGTTTGCTCTTGCCTGCCGACTGTGCAGCATGTCATATCTCTGAGGGATACAGGGAGAGCAGAAGGCGGCAGAGATACAGGCAAGGACCTGTTCCCATCATCCAGAGGCAAAGATAGGCATGGCAGCTCTGCGGCATTCATTCTTTGGCTCAGAGGAGAAATGGGGACGGATCCCTCTACTCTGAGTGCAGAGATGTCCCAGATCTGCCATCCTTACCTGCAGCTTCTGCAGTGTCTCCTCACGCTCGCCCTCTGCTTCCCACCAGCCACACTTCTGGCTCTTCAGCATCTGAATCTCCTAAAACACGATGAGGAAGAAAAAAAAAAACGCGATGGTGAAGACCGTCGTGTCAGACCCTCTCCTGTCCCAGTGCGACCGGCTCCCACCACATACCCCAACCACAGCCCCTTCCCTCTCTCCAAGGATCACATAACCACACCCAGCTCCAAATTTTAATACTTTCCTTCCCAACCTTCTACTTCTGCTGCACCTGCTGCCTCCCTTTACACCGTTAGTCCCTAACCAAGATGACTGGTTGAGTGCCAGCAAGGTTCAGTGGTTTCTGCACCCTGCTGCATCCTTGCTGAAGATCAGATCCCAGGCTCTTGGGGCCAGGGTCCCTGCTCAGCTGTTGGGTGAAAGCCTTTGCCCGCCTCTGCCTTGCCCCCTGCGCTTTTCCTCTAGTCTGAGTAGCTCTGGGGAACGGGGAAGAGATCTCTTCTCACTAAGGATCAGGAACCCCAAAACACCTCCTCTCCTCAACCCCTGCTTTGTGGCCCCAACCCTCAGGCTCTGTCCACCCACCCTGCTGAAGCACGGCCACCGGAGAGCCTGCAGATCGGCAAATCAGAGACGCTCTCCACATCACCCCTCTTTCACAGCCTCTGTAATTAAAACTCCGCTTTAAATCATACATTTAAATGCTGTGAAAGTGAGCAGCAATGACTCCACCAGAGGGTAACTGCAGCTGCAGATGGCCGAGAGGGCAAGGGCTAACACAGCCCTGCCGTCACTGCAGCAGCCAGACTCTCCACTCCAGGCTCTCTGCATGGGAAACTCCCAGCACTTCATTCTCACTCAGCTTTGCTCCTCTGGGGAAGACGACCACCCAGGGGGCCGTGCTGGCTTACAGAGCCTCCTGGCTTGTGTGAGATCTCATACGAGCTTTAGTGACAGACGGGGTGTTGGTGACCGACAGGCCACCCAGTCTCAGGCTTTGGTCTGCTTCGTGGGGTATTACCTCATCTTTAGCCTTGATCAGTAGTTCCAGCTCCTCCAGGGTTTGGCTCAGCTCTTCCTTGTTGTTCTCACTGGAGGAATCGTGAGCCCCCTGTGACTCCAGTTCTGCTACCTACGTGGAATCGAGCACAGGGAAGGCATGGTCAGAGATACAGGAATAAACCACCCACAGTCATTCTGTCGAATTTTGGCTTCCTTGCAAACCCAACCAGGCTTGCAACAGGACGGCAGCTCCCACCCTGGGGAAGGGGTTCCCGTCCTTTGGGAACACAAAGCTTTCTTTAAGAAAAAAAAAAAAATTCTGCTCTGCCTAGATCAGACACAGAAACACAGTGCGGTGAAACTTGGTCTAGAGACTCTGTCTCTGCTTTCTCCTGCAGTCTTGCACTTGCAGCAAAGCTCGACTGGCTGACATCAAGCACGTGAGCCTACAACCCAAAGTTATGGTCAGATCCAGCTCCCTTCACATCCCTCAGCAGAGATTGCCTAGGGCAAGGGAGCTACTGCAGCTCAACCACAGCAGAGCTGGGAGGAAGGGTTTGCCCAACTGTACTCCCCATTCCTGAAAAATTCAGCCCAGTGGCTTAGATTATTCATGAAAACAATTCATGTTTTAAAAGCACATCAGAAAGTCTGCAGCAGCTATTGCTGGGGCCCAAGCTCTCACAGGGCCGGCACCGAGCTCTACGAATGCAGCTCCAGTGATGGATGCTCTCACACAGATGGGACTCGGACCCTGCTGTGATGCTTCCCCACGAGCAGGGGCAGCGGGGAAACACTGGCTGGACCGGGCCGCTGCCACGGTCCACATAAACCGTAGCTGTGAGCTGTCAGGCTCGTGAGGTCTTGGCCAGAATCAACCAGCTCTGGTCCCAAAATGCACCGGTTTAAGGACAATAATCTAAATGTGTCACTGAGTTACAGTTTCTTCTGTGATTCTGCAAAAGTCTCCGGTGGTTGCTCCTCACCCAAGGCTCACAAACCCTCACTCGGCTCAGCATCACAGAATGGTAGGGGTTGGAAGGGACCTCTGCGGGTCACCCAGCCCAACCCCCTGCCCAAGCAGGGTCACCCAGAGCAGGCTGCACAGGACCTTGTCCAGGCGGGTCTTGAATGTCTCCAGAGAAGGAGACTCCATAGCCTCCCTGGGCAGCCTGTGCCAGTGCTCCGTCACCCTCAGAGGGAAGAAGTTCTCCAGCCAGCCCCAAAACCACACAAACAAATACAAGATCTCTGCTGCACCTAGGGCCAGCGCCTGCTGCAGAGGAGAAGATTTGTCCCGTGCAGCTCTGTTACTGTCTGACTGCAGCACTGAGAATTAGCAATGGGCACAGCGAATCCTGAGGGACGGCTGTTTACTGCACAGACCGGCCACACAACAGCCAGCAAGTGGAAACAGCTGTTAATTGCCATAAATCCCTTCTGTCTTTTGAATGAGCTATCTTGAAGTGAAATGGCTTTATGCCACCTTCTCCAGGGCTCCAGAGTCCTTTCCCAGCCAAACCCCAACTGTCCTAAAACCCTTTCCCAAGTACTCTGCAGTTCTTCCCTCCCAACAAACCCAACCGTGTGACTGTCACTCCTCTGCCCAGATGCGCGCAGGGCTCCTCGCTTGATCTGTGACCTCTCTGACATTACGTAGGTCAAAAGATCCTATTATTCCAACTGAACGAGGGCTTGTTTGTACTGCAGCACCCGGGTTTCATGATGTTGCAGCTTGGATTCAAGCTCATTATAGCAGACAGAGCAATCTTCATCCTTCCCGTCAGCAGCCAGAGGACTGCCCGATGCCCAGCTCAGGGAGGGGCACGGGCCTTACTCACTACTGCTGGCAGCTGGGAACTACCCCCAGAAAATCTGAAGGGAAGCTGGTATTCTTTGACTTTGTGCTCTGGTTTCCTCCCTTTATCCACAGGGACTCGGCACACTCCCAACTTGCTCTGCAGAAGCCGGGAGCTCTTGTGAGAGCTCCCTAGTTACATGGCCTTATTCCTTGACATGTTTTCCCTGCCAGGCTCACGCAGCATCTTGGATTTCCATCCCACCTCCTGCTGACCCCCATGGAAACTGATGGGAGAACGGGGTCAAGGGCACCATCTGGCTCTGGGACGGGGCTTCCTCTGACCTGGTCTGCAAGGGCCCTCCTGTGCTCACCCGCTGCCGCAGCGTTTCCGTCTCCTCCTGATAAGCAGCCAGCTGCTTCTTCCACTGGTCCACGCTGGCGTTGGCTTCATGGAGAGCAGCCACCAGCTTGCTGTTGTTGTCCTGGAGGCTGAAGAACTCGGCCTCCCACTGGACCTCACTCACCGAGCTGTGTGAGAGAACAGGGGAAGTGTGCAGGAGAGCATAAGAGAGTCTCAGCATGAAGGTTTCTTCCCCCAGCGCTCACACGCACAGAAACCGTGCTCTTGCAATTGCTGGGCAGCTCCCTGCCTCTCCACAGCTTTCTATTTGGCTTTCGTATTGCTTCCCAAATTTAAAGGCTTCTTCCAGCCCTGAATCTGCATCTCTTTCCTTTATCCCTGGATAATATTTGACTTTGAGGCCATGTGTGCTTGTTTGAAACTGCAGAAACCACACTGTGAGATTAATGGGGTGGGGAGTGGGGGAGATACAGCTACTATACAGGAGCTTTGCAATGTGGGACTGTGAATCCATTTTTAAAACCATTTTTAGATCCGACTTCGCTTTGAATAAAACCCTATCACCCCAGACTCAGGAGAAGGTAGCAAAGGACACTTGCTTTTGATTTAAAAATATTCTAAGCGTTCAGCTGGAAGCTCAACGGGAGCCACAGAGCAGAATCCAGCCCAGAACCTTTTGAACAGACAAAGAGCGGAAGCAGCAGGGACTTTGCTGGAATCATCAGGGGAATTAACACAAATGCAGTCCTGGGCCAGCTGGAAAAGCGTGAACATCTTCTGGTATCACAAACTACTGATCTGTAGATAAGTAGCATCAACTCATCCTCGCTGCGGGCACAGAGCAGTCTCCTTCCCACACCGCCTGAACAGCGGATTTCACCTCCAAGCTGGAATAACTTTCTACTGGGGAAGAGAGGCGATTGGTACGGTGGAGGGTTTTAGCAGCAGCAGACATGGGGCACGACACAGCTACCTAAAGTAGCAGCATTGGGTCGAAAGCATTTGGAATGAGGCCACTTGGTCATCCAGGGTCTCTGCAAGCACTGGGATGACAGGGACATACATCAAAACCCTGCCAGAATAGATAGTTTAAAAGTCAGAAGCAGAGAGCACTTGTGGCAGCCTCACCCTTCTGAAAGCATCTTCTTCAGCCGCTCCTTCTCTGTTGATATCTCAACATCGGCACTTTGGCTCCGGAATAGCTTATCTTCTCCTGGCCCATTGGAGCTGATGAGGGGGCTGGGAAGTACCTGGGGGATGAGGAGGAGGTGGTTATCACACAGCAGTGAAGACAGGCCATGCGGCCACAAGGCCTCTGCAAGCTCCTTCCCAGCCTGGGTTCACTGGGCTAGTTCTCAGTCCCTGCACTCCTGTGAGCAACGCTGGCTTTCACACCGAACTCTCTGGTAGTGCTGTGCTCGTCTACACGACGAGTGGTGCCACAGATCCTCACGTACGGCTCAGCAGCACCAGTCATGGCACCGCGATGACTCCAGAAGCTATGCAGACACAAGGCTTTCTCTCGGATAGGTAGGTTAGGGCTCAGCTCTTCCAGCAGCTGCCCTGCTGCCAGGTCCTCCCTTTCCCTGTCCCATGCCACGCTGGGGCAGCGATCCCAGTGCACAGACTCCCTGAGCAGGTGGGCTCACAGCTTGCACACACCAGCAATTCCGCCCTCCTGACTTGAGCTACTGAATTCTCTGGCCCTCAACTCCCCCTTGAGAAATGCCAGCCACGTTACAGCCTGTAACCCGAGTCCCACAGCTGTGCACAACACTCCGAGCCGCTCAAGCTAGCCGTTTCACAGTTTTGCTGAATTCTTCATAGGATTTTCTGGTTGGTTCTCAGAGCAGTGGAAAGACTTTATAAACTCTGAACACAGACCTGCCAGGGCACCTGGGTTCAGTCACAAGTCCAGCTCCTATACCTTGAATTAAGAGACCAGGTGCCATTGGGATAGTGTTTCCCAGGCTCAAGGGAGGGAAACAGCTACTGCTCAGATGATTGTGGTACCCACTTTCCAAAGGCGTGGGAGAAGAAGGTGCAGCCCCTGCACCAAAGTATACCCTTCTCTATGGCTCCATATTCCTGCGTACACCAGAGCTAGCAGAGACCAACAATCCATCCTCCCAGGCTGGAGGGAACTGACAGTGGAGCAGAGATGAACATGCAGAAGCCAAAGCTGATTTCACATCCTCCAGCCCCTCCAGAAGACCCTGTCTGCCCAGTCTCCTCTCACAGCAGGGAAGAAGCTTGGCACTGACAGCGCAAACTGAGCTATAAACAGACTCTCTGAGCAATGAGTCTCTGGGATCGTGAGCTAGGGGCTGTGAGGCCAGGTGGCCGGTGAGCCTGCTGGGGTTCATAGGTAGCCCTTAAATGCCCGTGGTAAGGCCAGCCACCTGCCTCTGGAGTCGGCTGACATCTATAAATAGAGCCAGACAGCACCACGAGATGTATCGAACACCAGCTTCACGAAGCCTTCCAGAGAGAGACTGAGAAATGAGACCTGCAAAACTCAACCCTGCCAAGGTGGGGAAACTGAGGCAAGGATGCGGCAGAAGTTTCCTGTTCTGGTGTGTCGAGGCCCTGTGAGTCCAGCTGAAACTGATAGCAGCTGAAGATGCCCCACACCAGTTTGTTGCTGATGTTATCCACAGTGACGTGCTCTGTGATAGGGATGCTAAGTGGGATGGGGATTGGCCTAAAAGGTACTAGAGGACAGAAGAGAGCTGCTGTCCTGGGATTTCCCCAACTCTGAAAAGCTGAAGCCTAAGTACACTAGTGCAGATGCAGAAAATGAGGGAGCCCTGATTTAATTTCAGGAGACAGATCTGCTCTCTGCTCACTTGCAAACAGAAACACAATCAATTATTCAAGGATGAAACTCACGTTTGAAGCTCTACTAACGTAGAGACTGCGAACCAGCAGTGGCACAGTGGGAGGAAGGATGATGGGGGAGGCACGAAACGCAGAACAAGATCGGCGTGCCCGCATGGCAGAGGACACTGCGTGTGTCACTGTGTCAGCACGCTGGCTGCCGGATGGCTGCAAGCAGAGCCGTGCACACTGGTGTCCCAGCTCTCCCACCAAGAGACGAGGCAGGGTGAATGGGAAGAGCGAGCGGGGGTTCCCGTGGTGGCAGTTTTAGCACTGCTGAGTCAGGCAAGAAGGAGGAACAGAGCCTTAGGCCATTTCCCCGATCTGTGTCTAGCCTTCACCTTCTGACATCCTCATCCCTTCTGCCGCAAGCTGCCATTGCGGCACAGGGGAGACGAACATGTCCTCTTGTCACACCGGAGGAGTTCTGCCTGGCGTAAACAGGATAAGAGGGAGTATCTCTACTCCCAGCCTCCATCTCCTGGCCAGTGGAGCTAGCAGATGAAGGCTGCAGCTGGGCATGAATCTCTGTCTTGGGTAATTATTACTGACAAGAGACTGTTACCTAAAACTTTGGTTCTGCTAGCTACGAATGCTCTACTCTACTCCCTTCTTCATTTGCCACCCATTAGGATGGGGCTTGAGAGTTAGCAGAAGACAAAAGCTAGGCAGATTTTCCCTGTTTTTGCACCCTACATCACATTTCCAGTCTCTGCAGAGCCACTGCCTCTGCCTCCCCCTCTCTCTCCTGCAGGCCAAGGTACTGTTCACGCTCCCTCCTCCTCCTCTGCTGCCAATCCATCTGCACTCAGCCCAGAGAACACAGCGTCCTCCATCCTGCAGCTCCTCTCCTACTGCCAGGAGCTCTGGGAAATGCAGAGTCACCTCTGGAGTGAACTATCTGGGAAGGCAACTTCCCCATCAGCACTGAACTGCTTCACCATGGGAAAAAGCAGGGTAGAGCTCTCCACAGCTTATCTTCTCCCCTCCATCCCACTGCTGCTGGAGTTGGTTTAGCTCTACGGGAGAAAGGTAACAATCTCAAGTGCAAAGCATGTGAGAATGATCTCTGATGGGCTTAAGCTCGCTGGCTTGGTCTCCTGGGGGAAAGAAAATTGAATGACTGGCTGTCACGTGTGCATTTCTACCTCAGGGGAGAGTTCCCAAGGGGGGTGCGATTTCTACTCTCATAGCACAGCTTCTCTTCCACAGCAGAAGTAAGAAAGAAGCACAAGAAGTCTGGCCAGCACTCTCCAGTCACCAGCTCTAAGAAATGACTTTGTCTTTCCATGGACCCCCATAGACAGCACCATCACCTATCAGAGACACTTGGAGAACACCCTGCAGCCCTAGAAAAGGAACAAAAATGGTTGGAAATGCCACACGTCTTCCTTCCTATGATCTTCAACCAGGCAACACGCCCTCCTGTGTGCTACTTGCCTGTTATTGTCACACTGAGCCCAGGGAGAGCCAGCAGCTCTAAAGAAAAAAACTCAACAAAAACCACCAAACCGAAAAATCCCAACCACAATAAAAAGTCCCCACACCTCCAGCATGGCTTTATAAGACATTAAATGGTTTTGATAGTTTAACTGGCAAAGAGGGAGGAGTGTGAACCTCCCCAGGACCTCCACTTAAGCACTAATCGGTTAATCTACTTCATGTGTTTCAACAGAGGGACCTCAGGGCCACAGGTACCATCGAAATGTGAATCTCCAACTACAGTATCCAGCAAGAAAGATCTCAGAGAGAAAGGGATGAAAGCGAGAAGATACTAGAGGAGCTCACCACAGTGACCACTTTCCTTAGCTGTGATCGCTCTGCAGCGAGCGTTACTCATGCCTCTTTCCAAGCGTTACCTGGTGAGACGTGATGTTCAGGGCAGGATTGGTCAGCTCTGTTTTATCCTGGGACTTTTCCCTCACCAAACGGGCTGCTTCTTTCACTTCCTGGAACTTCTCTGCAAACTAGAGGGGAGTGGAAAAGTCACTCTGGTGCTACACTGGAATGCGGAACTAACTAGAATTGATTGGTGGATTACTCTGTCTCCCTTTGCTACTTCATTCAGCATGCTTTTTAATTTCTCTTCAATTAATAACAAAATTCAGGGAATAGCCCCTTCCTGCCCCTGCCCATGATTCTGGCACTCAGGGCTGTGGAATTAGCTAAGCAGCAATCACAGAAATTGAGCCTAAAGTCCTAATTCAATTTGTGCTGCTCAAAACACTCTGCAAATATTTTTACTTTAAAGCTCTTCCTAGCATCTTTGCATCTTGCATTAGATTTTAGCAGAGTGGGAACAGCGTTACACCTGGTTCCTAAAGTCTTTTCTCCAGAGGCTGATCGCCTGTTCAGGGTTTCAAGACGTTCCCCCTGCTAGCATCAGGCTTCTGCCAGCACCTGCAGTGTTACCTGGGAGAGATGTTGCTCCGAAGCAAAGCCCAGTCCATACACTGTGTTGGCTCGGCTGTCTGCCCACTGTCCAAATTTCTGGGACGTCTTTGTGAAGGTCATGTTGGGGGTAATAGTGCTGTTGATGATTGCCTGTAGAGAGAGGCAACAGTGAGAGTCAGAGGAAACTCCAGCCTGCTGCCCTGGGGTGGTGGTGTGGGACTGATCACTATAATCCCTGTGTACTCTAGGAATTAGGGGCAGAAAGCTCTGGTTTTTAATCTAATAAGACAACCGCTCAGGCTTTTGGTGACCAAAAGTCTTTCTAGTCTGTCTACGTGGCACGAACAAATCTCATTCATCTTGTCTACTGAAAAAGAAAAAAAAAAAAAAAAAAGAAAAACACAACCCTCAGCATCATCAGCTTCCTCCATTGCTGGAAAAGAAGATAAGAGACAGAGTGTCTCCGGGGACTTCACAGCTTTCTGATGTTCTCCATTTTCATGGCAAGTAAGGAAAAAAAAAAAAAAAAAAAAAAAAAAAAAAAAAAAAAAAAAAAAAAAAAAAAAAAAAAAAAAAAAAAAAAAAAAAAAAAAAAAAAAAAAAAAAAAAAAAAAAAAAAAAAAAAAAAAAAAACAGAAGCCTAAACAGCAGTCAAGACTAGCTATAACGAAACACTCTCTGCTGTTTAGGGTAGCATCAAAATCAATTGCCTGGGAAGATGGTTGAATCTCTGCCATTGGAGATCTTCAAGAACAAGTCACGAAAATACCTATCAAGAACAGCTCAGGGAGGGTTAAGAGCGTTTCATGGAAGTGACTGAACAGACCACCCCTGAGAATCCCTCAGCCTGTCTGTGATTTCATTATATCTACAGGGCTTGGGTTTAGCACAGCACAAAGGCTCTTGGAAAAAGCTTCTGTTTCGCATGCTCGGAGTGGCAGGGGTTGAGAAGAGAGGCAGGGAGGGACAACACCAGACCCTAGGGCACGTTTTTCATCAGCACGGATTCTAGTGGCTCACACTAAACGCACTTGAGCACAGAGGCAGCGTTTTACCTTGCATTCCCTGCGATGAAGATGCTAGAGTGCCCATGCTAACATGAAAACCATCAACGCCGGAACAGACTTTGGCTGGAGAAAAACCTGCTGTCGAGCTGTGTGATGCTGTCAGCAAATGCCCCCTACCTTGGTGCCCCCCACGCTGATGATCCGGTACACATTGCGTGTGGCATCGTAGAAGTAGGAGACAGTCAAGGCGTGCTTGCTGGCGGGGATCCAGTTCCGTTTGGTGGCAGGGTCGATCTGGAAGACATGGGCCCTGGTGCTGAAGATGGGTTGCTCCCTGCAAGAGAAATGAGCACGGCTGTCAGGGCAGGGGGGAAGCTGAGCAACGGGGGAACTGCATCGACTTCCTGGCATGATGCACCGCCAGCAGCACTTCTGCTTGTTCTTCTTCTCTCTGGGGATCTGAGACACTAGGTGCTAAGCAGTGCAGCCCCCAGGACGCAGCACCTCTCAACCAGCAGCCCTTCGCCCAGCCTCTGTGCAGCGAGCAGCTACTCCCCACTGTCTGGGATGGTATCATCTAGTGTCCCTTCTCATCAGGGGAGTCATGACCCACACTCTCCATCGTTCCTGCGAGTTGCTCTTCCAAGACCTTCGGGCTTCTCTGTGCTCCCCACAGGAGCCCTCCAGATCCTTGGCACTCTCCCAAAGCCCATTTTAGAAGCTGGGGGACCACTGGCTGATGACCCTGTAAAGTAAAAGCCTACGGCTCTTTATGCTTCCTATTTGCACACCATCCAGGCAGAATGATGACAGCAGCTTTCACTGCACACTAGAGACCTTGATCTATGAAAATACCCTTGGCACAAGAACAAAGCTACCAAGGGTGTTTAACTCCAGGTCCAGGTTTCCACCTTCCTCTAGAGCTTCTCTGTGCTCCTCTGCAGTCTTCAGATATTTCCAAAGACCACAGCATGGTCATCCCAGCAATCACAGGCTATGCTCTCAGATTAGTAGATCCTATACGCAAGTTCACCCAAGGATGGGCCCCAAACTTGCAAGCAGAAGTGCAAACAGGACACCATAATCTTGTGTTTGGGGCATACCAGATGGCCCTACACAACACAGCCAGTCTGGCAGAGCTATGCTAATGATTCGGGGTCATATTATTTTTAGCCTGACTCAAAGATCTCTTTCACCATCCCTTGGCACCTTAGTGGTCATTCGTGGCAATTTCACCAGGTATATGATTTCTCTGGTTGCTGTATTATTTGTACTTCACAGGATATCTCCAAGCTGGAGCTCTAGGGAAATGGATGGATGGAGGATGGGTTTGGGATCTGAGCACAAAAAGCGCCTTCCCCTCAGCACAGCTCTTCCTCCCTTGACTCACGTTTGGGAAGCGCATCCTGCAGCGAGAGGTCACATTGTAGGATTAAAAGCAAGTCACTTAACAATGAATTAAAGGAAACACTTCACCGCACAATGTGCAGCTGCTGCAAGCAACCACTGAACCAAGCACTGCCCGGATTTTGTAACCAGTAACATCTGAGCTGAAATAAGGAGTTGAATCTCAGGCATCAGGATGTAACTTGAGTGTTTCAGGAGGCAGGAAGGAACGTTTCCACGACCCAACAGCCCAAGTCCATCAGGGTCTTCGTTTAACTTGGGTTAAAACCCAAGGCGCTGGCCCTTGCCACGCTCCTTACCCACACCCAGTGAAACGCAATGTGGTGGGAAACACCCCAGACCCTCACAACAGCCGCAAACAAGGCACAGTCACAATCCTGCCATGTGCAAGCTCCCCAGATCCAGGCATTTGTATTTCCTCCCATTCCAAGGCCTCACAGCTGCAACGAGCAGACTTTCCCATCAATCCATAGACAACTGTACCTGGTGCCTTCCAAACCCATCACCAAAACTCAGGAAGGAAATAAAATGCTCCCTGCTACCTCCCAATTTCAAGCCTTGCTCCCAGGTTACAGCCCTGACTCAGATCTCTTGTGACTGCGCGAGGGTCTAAACCAGCCCCTTCTCTGCATCCTTTCCATCTGGTTTTATTAATGCATGGTCTGTTTTTGGAACGAGATTCAGATTTTCCAGGCTCCACTAGCAGATGCCAAGTTCTACACGGAACACAACTTATCCTTTGAGACACAGTATCTACAGAGTAGGGAAAAACTAACGTTTCTGCACCTTAACCCCAAGTCCTGGGCTAGTGTCAGAGAAAACAGAGGAAGGACATTACCTAGTTGTTGACGTTTGTTAGTAAGAAGGGTAAGACAGACTACAGGCCACTGGAGTTAGCATGCATCTCTCCTCCAACAGCTTCTTTCTCAGGTCTCCTAGCTGGACTGAGGCTCCTTTTTGGTTTTGCCTCCACAGTGATTCATTTCCTAGCGATGGAAAAGTCAGCTGTTACTTATCACACAGAGCACAGACAGAGCGTTCAACCAGGCAGCGTCTAGGGTCTTCATTTGTCCCAAACTCACAAAGCTTGTAATTTGTAATGATTTCTCATCACTGAACAAGCTTTCTTCCCTGTCATGGGAGATAATTGTGTGAGCTGCGTAACTGGAGTAAATCCCTTTGGCAGCAGGCGCTGGCTGTTGGGAGAGAGCCACAGAGGAGCCTGGAAGGCTCCAGTGTTTCCAGCCACACACACGTGATGCTGGCTGCAGGACGGAAAACCCTCCTTGGAGATCACCCCTCACACGCACGGCAGCTATTCCTGTGCTCGCTGCTCACCAGTGAGGTCTGCACCCCGAGTCACTGCAAGCCATCCTGCTGACCGCAGCAGGTTTCCGATCAAGTGATGTTTCGAAAGCCACACACTTCGATGTGTGTGATGGAGATAACCCTTCTCTGCCCGCAGAATTCACCCACCAGGTGCCCTCCCTGCCCTGGGCTCCACGGAGCGGGGCACGATCCCAGAGCCTGGCAGTGAGGAGCCCCTGCGGCCACCCTGTGCTGTCTCCCCATGACATGCGAGACTGCTGCGCTATTCATTTGCTTTGTAAATCAGTCTCTCCTGTAAATGGTCCCCACCCTGCTCTCCCCCGTAAGAAATGAGACCACATATCTCAAAAAAGGAGCAAAAGGGTAAGAAAGTGAATTTGCATGATGAAGACTGCCCATAGAAGGGGTACAGAGCCCAGACCTCTCAGCCTCTCTGCTAGGTCTGCCTCCAAGCAGGTCAGTCTCAGGAGGCCACCCAGATGTCAACTGTCCTGTAATTACAGTGTCACTAACCACAAAAGCCAGCATTACTTTCCTTCTGAGCACCAGGAGTGGTAAATAAAATGCCACTGGAAGGCCTGTCAGACAGGAGAAAAGCCCATCTTCATGGGGGTTAGCTTCTGTTTTTTCTGCTCACGTGAGGCTGACTTGGCTGCTGCTTCGCCCAACGCAGAGCTCCTGGGCATGCGTGCTCTCCTCACGGGCCTCGGGTACGACGGAACATGCACTGCTAACGGTGCTGATGAGGCAGGGTGCTCTGCTTTTTGTGCCATCATGTAACCACTGCTGTCTCGACACTCCTCATACATTTGTTCGTGCCTTATGGTCTTCCCTGGAGCAACAAAGCTTCACGCTGCCTGCAAGAGGTCTATCCCTTCCAGTTACAAATGTGAAAGTCTCGCAGGCTCTCCGAACAGGCCTGTTGCCAGCTACACCAGATGTGCTTTGCTTCCAGCACACGGCAAACCGGCAGCAACAGCAGCAGGGCATGTCGGCAGCCTCGCCTGCCTGCCTGGTGCCAAGGAGGGAACTCCCGCAGCCACCTCCCTCCGAGGGAAGCACGATCTCCTGAACTGCCCTTCACGTCTCCCCCTTCCTCACTGCAAATGGGAAGAGTTGCTGCCAGCTTGCACATCCTTAATAACGGCGACTGGAGATTGCTTTATGAGGCCAGCATGTTACTGCCTTCTCACTACCACCTGAGTATAGTGCCAGCCTGGCATGGGGACAGTGCTTTCGAGGAAGCAGTTGCTCAAGCTCTGTAGGTAATGCTCAAGGAGAGCTTTGTGCTCTGCCTGGGAACAGCACAGAGACGTTCATGCTCTTTTTGCAGCGCTTGTGGAGGGAAAAAGAATCTGTTTGGTTTTGTTTGTTTGTTTTAAGTCCAGCAAATGATACAAATCATATCCAGCTGGTACAAGAATTCCATTGTCCAGGATGCTGGCTAGCCTGGAAACCTGCCCTTCAGCACTCACTTGTCTGACAAGGTTAAAGCCGACGCTCCAAAACAAAAGCTCTCCTAGAGTCTAAGTGGCAGAACAGGACAAAAAACAGACAGAAAGAGTAGGCAGAAATGCAAACAGAGAGAAACAAGAAAATTTGCAAATCTCAGGGCACATCTCCAGGAAGTCACAAATGGCTTATTAAATGGAAAACGGCTCTACCTCACCCTTTCTATGATTCCTTCAGCAGCGAAGAACCACGGCAGGGTTTGACACAGCTCGGCACAGCTGAGCGGATCAGCAAGGTGGGGACACAGGCAGGACCGCCGGGCACCGGTGTACTTGCTGAGGGAAGTTCAGAGCAGGAAAACCGCAGGTGCCGAAAGCCCGATCCGAGATGCATGAGTGGAGTAACGTCTGAGGAGCACCCGTCTGCATTCAGCTTGCTTCTGGCCAGGCTGCTGACCTCTTGTTCCCAAAAAACACACTACAAAGCATTTAAAAATAGTCCTGAAAGTGCCTAAGATTGAAACTGTCATGTTCTCTCTCTCTTGCTACAGCCCTCTTTTCCCCTGTGTTTTAAGTGTATATGCTGGATACACCACACATAACATATACGTATGTTATACATCCCTATAACAATACAGACATAGCAGCGAAAAGAGCATGTGTAAATAAAATGAATTACACCCCCCAGGGCTGTCCTTTGCACATAATTAAGAAAAACCAAAGCAAATGACTGAAAGGACAAAGATCTGGCTGAGATACAGACATGATCAGCAAGGGCCTGATGGCGACTGGAAAGGATCCAGGTCTCATCGCTGCCAGCATTTGTTCCCAGCCCAGGGGGGAAGGGCAAAATTCAATATCCCACATCCCGCTGATAGCTTAAAAATGACCTGTCCCCCACGAATGTTCCCTAGCACTCCAGCAGCAGGCTGCCAGCTACCAGGCAAAACCAAGCAGCTAAAAATGAAAAGAAGAGCTGCTCTAACTTAATGTGTTCTTCACATCCGCAAAGCGCCTAGCTCCAGGATGCTGCCTGAGTAAAGACCCAAATGCCTCCTCTTGTGGCTTCTTCTTATAGAGAAGCTGGGAAAAGGTCACTGGGTCTTTGGGGAGGATGCACAAATATAGGGTATGGATCAATCGTTTC